ACTGCTGTACATAGCACAGGGACAGCCTCACAGAGAAACCTCCCACAAACAGGCACTGACTTCATTTCAGCTGTAGTAGGGTGTGTCATTGTAGCAGTTCCATTGCTGTCCTGTCCTCAGCACTTTCCACTGGCTGGCTTTCTTCATCTCTAGGCCTTCATTTGAAATGCAAATACTTTTTGGCTAGAATAAAGCTCTGCATTTCACAAACTAGTTCTTAAAATACGTTCAGATAACAAACAATTCTGCAAACATCTAGTGAGAAAGAGTGTTCCTACATAATTTGGTATCTTTGACTGTGACTGTAAGCTCACACGGAAGTTTTGATTTGAGGTTTTGATTTTGGTTTTTTTAGTGTCTTTAGAGCTTTTATAAAGGCTTACTCCTTTGTGGACTCTCTTCTCTCATTTCAGAGGCTTCTTCCCACTCCTAGGTGCCTATTTTCACAAAAACTGTAGGACAGCATTGTCTTTCAGGATTCTACCTTCTCCCACAGCTGTAAGTGGTGTGAGTATTCAGAGCCATGTTATGGACCCACAGAGATAAGAGACTGTCAGCAAGGAAAAGAGTTAAAACCTCATGTAACATTTTACAAAAATAAAGAATTCACAATGATAAGGCATGGCCACATGACTCCATGCCACAAGTGCTTACACAGTGACATTGATGACTACGTAAGCTAGAGAACAGAACATTACAGTTTCAGGGCCACCTCTCAAATACGGCTTATATTCAGATGAGCTCACTGAGAAATTCTGGCCCGTTGGCAACCACAAGGATTTTTGCCACTGATATTCAAGCAAGCACATTTTCATCCATGGTATTAACTTGCTAAGAGACTCACTGGTTTCCATGCTTTTGTTACATAACTATGGATTATGAAATTTCCATGTCATGGCAGGCTCACACTTAAGGTTGGAAAAAATTTCATATTTCAACATTTTTTCCAGATGAACAGTAAAACAGTAACTTAATGGGTGCAGTACCTTAAAGAAGTAAACGCCTTACAGAAATATTGAAACTGAGAACTTTTTTATCATTAGCTACCAAGAAGAAGGAACACAATAACACTTAGAATTAAAGCCCTTCTATTGTTATTTGGCAATGTTGCAATTATAATTTTTACTCCTTTTTCAAACACAATAGTGATATCTTTAAACCATATTTTTACCAATCAAGATACAGAAGCAATGGAAAAGGCACTTCTATAGCACCTTTCATCCAAAATCTCAGAATACTCTACAAATAGCAATTCAACTTCCTAGCACAACTACCTCCTCCAATGTGCTAACAGCTCATTTTACAGCAGGTGAAACCGAGGCAGAGGGAAGTTGAGTCATGTACCTAAGGTCACATAACAAATCCATCCTCTAACTCCAAAATATCTCTTCAGATGTTTAAAGTCCACAAAATATTTTTAGGGTCCGCTTAAGAAGAAAAACAAACTCCCTCAGATTCACAGCTGATTTTTAAAGTAGTTGGCTTCAGGATACTATTAATATACTTTTCTTGGTAAAACATTTGCTACAAAACTGTACTCAATAATACTGTTAGGAATCTTTTCTGCTTTGAAAATGAAAAAAAAAAAAACCCTGTTTCTACACTGTAGTAGCATCAGGTCACTCACACAGAGCACAGCCCACTGCTATTATGAAACCTGCATGAAAGAACAAGGACGGTGCTGAGTGTTGCCAAAATCCCTCTTGAACAACTGAACAATTCAGGTTTATCACTGCTGATTTTGCTCATAGTTGCTACAATGGTGTCTCCTCCCCCCCATTTCTGGTACCAGTGCCTGTGTGTCCACATGCATGTGCACACAAAAAGAAAACAGGATTGAGAGAGGTTAAAACGTTCAGCGCAGCATTGCCAGCACTGCACTCTGAGGCACAGGGAAGAGTCCTCAGGCAAAGCCTGCAAAGTGTTCCTTGATCAGGACAAACACAAACAGCAGCTCTCCCACACAAAACACAGAATCAGCCCCTTGGCAGCTGTTTGCCAGCTTTCTGCTTGACTTTCCTGATGAGGATTTACAGTTCTCATCCTGGTTTGTTTTCTTCAAGCCCAGTTTGCAGAGAACAGTTGAGAAGTCCCTAGAAAGGGACAATGGACTACATTACTTAAAACAATTTTAATAGAAACAAATGTACAGAACTAATTGTTTCACTTTCTGTGTGGTTTTCCATAAGAAACAAAGAGTTGAAAATCTGGCATTACAACATGGCATAAACAAGATCAAAACCAACTTCAGACATGTCAGAGGCACAGACCTTGTGAGGCTGATTTCTTCCTCCCTGTTTCAACAGTGAAGGTCTCCTTTATATACAACAGAAATACAATTTACTCTTCTGTAGGACATCATCCTCAGTGTGATTGGAGATCTGAGTGGTATATCTAATCTCTGATAAAATTCAGAGACCCACGACAATTGCAGAGGGAAAAGGGGTGAGTGACAAAAAAATTAACAGAAGCTGAGGATGTAGCGTGAGCTTGTTGTGGCCTCAAAGGGAAAAGTGGCAGGAAAATCCAGGCAATAAAAATATCTGCATTTTTTGGTCATTGTTTAATTAGCTGCATAACCACTGCTATTTCTAGAAAGAGAAGTCATTATTTACCTTGCAGCTGATTAAAGATCTTGGCTACAGAAGACAAATTGCTGCAACACAACTAATACAAAATTAAAACTACAAACTTATACATTTACTCTATTCTTATGTTAGATTAGCTAAATTTTTAATTTTTGTATGCAAATTAAACTAATTTAAATGTGAAACAGGCATACAAATGTATCTCTATTAAAAGCTGGACATAATTAGCTGTGCTGAATTTAAATTATATAAGCTAGTGTGACTTTTCGTAAATAGCCAAGGTCTATGTCATATGACATCGCTCCCCTTACAGCTGGCCTGCAGTGCCTTTGATGTAAAAATTTATATAAATGAAGACTTGTGTGAATATTCACAGTGCCTTTTCTGTAACCATTTTTTTCAATTATTGATAACAGATTAATGAGATAATAGTAATGCAAATGCATTTCCAGCCTGTTTTTATTCATAATGGTTCTGTGACATTCAGAGAATATTAACAAATTAAAAGGATAAGCCATGTAGAACATGTAGAACTGGAAACAGCTCTTTCAGGGAAAAATAGGTACAACTTCTTGATTATTCAGATTACAGCGCTCTAAATGAAACAACTCACTCCAAAATCAAAGCAGAACTTCACAGACTCTCTTTGTAACACATGACAGGTCTATCAGCAATTGCAACTGCACACCCTGGGCTGAAATGAGAGCAGGCCATTATCTACATTCTGTGATTTGTTTCAAGCAGAAGACACCTGTATGCTGTAGAAAAGCATTCACTCAATGCCTGAAAATGGAAAGAGATGGAGTTGGGTAAAACACACAAAGCCCAATTTGACAGCACAGAATGGAGCAATTTCAGCCCACTGGAGATGAAACACCTCTTTAATGACACAATTAAGGATTTAAGAGCAGAGTCCAGTTGCACAGTCATTAATACAAAAAATGTCATGAGATAATAAATAGCAACTGCCTTTGGTAATATTCCTCCCTGTTGAGGGGCCAGGACAAGGGGGATGCACAACTGAAGCCTGATCTTGAAGATTAATATGATGCTCCTGGGAATTTCCCCGCCTTGCATAAAGATCCAGTTCAGAACTAGAGACGGGGAGAAAATTCAAAGTGCAACAAAAGCCTCCTAGGAATACTTGGGCAAGAACAAAAGAAGGAAGCTACACAAAAAACAGTGCAGGGAATTAAAAACCTCATGAAGGCAAAAGGAGCTGAGCTGTACAGACAGCTACATGTACCAGACTTCTGCAGAGAAGCCTTACAAGGCATGGCTTCAAGGAAAATGGATGGATCCAGCTAGGGCACAGCAGAAGTCAAATCCAGGCTGACACAATATATATTCCAAGCACACCACTGCTGATTAACACAGTGCCAGTTGATCTATGTATTTGGCACTATCTTAAATGAACATCTAAATTTTTGAAGGGGGAAAATAAACACTCTTTACATAAAAGGAAAGATCTTAAAAAATTAAATTCAGTTAAGCTTCCCTTAAACCTCAGTCTCAAAATTGAAATGAGTTGCTGGATTGCTGCAGAATACCTTTAGCTTCCTAAGCATGGTTCATACTTTCAAGCAAGGCCAAATAAATATCAGCAATAACAAACTTGAGCAAATGCGTGCACTGGAAGACATTTGCCTACGAAATCACAGAGGGCAAAATCCTGATTTGAGAACTGCAATGCAGTATTTGTTGGCAGGGTTGTTGCTGTATTTCTTAGTGGCACTGACTCCAGAAAATTATGTCAGAACCTGGAATTTAGGATTTTCATGGCCTGTAAAATTACCGGTTAAATACCCAACCTTCAACAACCCAAAGCATTTTCAGCCCCATAAAGCAGTAGTGAACTTCCGACCATTTAGGAGAACAGATCCCATTCTTAATATTGCCCTGAGGCATTATTGAACAGAAACGGGTCCAACTTATCACACACCACCAGACCTTAGAGCTGGCTGGGTTAAACACCCATGAGTCACTTTGCATTTAAAGGGATGTGCTCTCACACAGCAATGCGACCCAAGATGCTGCAGTATTCCCAGGAAAGTCTGTGTACTTCTGTAGACTTCCAGAATTTCCTGTGTTATGTGACATGAACAGTGATGAGATTCATAGGACTTCTCCCCATAATGTAAATGTCAGCACAACCTGAGTGATTTGGGGCAGGGACAGTCCTTTCTTCAAGGGCAACAGGGTTTTGTCTGCATGTATGAAAGCCTGGCACAATGGCATCCAAATCTCTGCCCCAGAGCAGAAAATAAGGGCCAGGAGGTGGTGTGGATTTCTCTTACAGATGTACCTGTAAACATTCTGGTCTGCAGATGGAACTGTGTAAGACCTGCTGTAAATCATTTTCTCGTGTCCAACTGATTCTTTTTGTCCCCTCCCCCTTTTGACCCCAAATAGCTGACAAAGTCAACGATGACTTCTACACCAAGCGCCGACACCTGGCCGAGCTGGCAGCCAAGGGGAGCCTGCCCCTCCACCCGGTGCGCCTGGACGAGGAGAGGGCCTACACCATCGACAGCGGGCTCACCAGGCAGAACGGGAAATCCAGGATGGGCAAGATACACACACACCCCCTGGGCTACAACTCCCACTACAAGACCTGGGATCCCAACGACCCGTCCCTGAGGCGGCAAGCGTTCACAAACAAGGGCAAGCACGGCATGGGAGACCCAACGCTAAGTGACCCACTGACCACCCGGAGCCAGCACTACTTGGGCCCACAGCCATACTTCATAACCAACAGCAAGACAGAAGTAACTGTTTGAGTTTGTTTTCTTTCTCATTTTTTTTTTCTTTTCTAATGAAATCCTTTAAAAACCACACGCAAATGTATACACAACACAAACACTCAACCAAAAGGCAAAAAAAAAAAAGAAGAAATTAAACAACAAAGAAAGAGGAAACAGAAGGAAGGAACTTCCACCTGGACAGTCTTGGTATCCAGCCAGCTGTAGGCCGAAGAGTGGGTTAATACCATTCAGCAATACACACTGAAGGTTGAATTATAAACTCCATTTATATTTCACAAAGGAACACAAACCCTTGTGACTAAATTTTTTTTACTTGAAACTAAAATCCATGATGAGAAGTAGCACAATCTAGAGAAACTTTATGTCTGCTTAAACATTTACACTATGTTCCTGCCTTGAGACAGAGGAAGACAGAGAGAACAATATACTGTAACATATTATTTCAGAGAGGAATTTTGTATAAAACCTATTAATAATCACTAGACCTGTGAAAAACCGAGAGCTACCATCTTGGTACGATCCCTAACATCTACTATTGTACTTTCACACCATCCTATAGAGAACGCAAAAAATATATATACAATAAGGGACAAAGACACTTTCACAAGGAATTTATAAAGACTGTTATGATTAAGAACATATGGGACCTTTCTGGCTGGTAGAGAATTCAGCAGGATGATAACAGCAGAAGATTTCATTTCAGTTTACTTCATTTGATTTGAAATTTTTGGGAACCTCCAAAATAAGAAGAGACACTTCATATGACACAGAAAGCTGCTGGGGGAAAAAGGGCATCAGAATATTCCCTCTCAGTCCTCCTGTTTTCAGGCAGATGGTAACTATTCTCACTTTGCAGACTGTCAGGATTTTTTCTTCACCTAAATGTTTTGCCTATCTTCAACTGCTTCAGACTGAAATTAAGCGTGGGTGGTGCCTTTACTGTATTACTATTGTTCAATGACAGTCTTGTTCTTCAAAGTGACCCCTCTGTTCCTTTAAGCTATTTCCTCATGTTTTGCTAAGGATGACAAGGGTTCTGCCCTGCTCAGCCTCCTCTGTTTGTTCTGAAAGGAAACTGGACTACATCTCCATGCAGTGGTTGCACAGTCAGAACTATTTAGTTAGCCCCTTCATTTTCCCAATTTCAACTTTTCCCCTCTAGTCTCTCATTTTGTATTTGCTTTTAGCCATGGTAGTTCTCTGTAGTTCAAGTAAATGTTATCTGGTATATTGTCTCTATCGTTTGGCTTTCTCTAGTGGTGTTCCCTCTTGGTGGGCTGTGTGGTGGAATAGGCTGGTCCAGCCTCAAACATCAGAGATCTGGGGTTAAACTAAACAAACAATTGGACTCATGGTCTTGACTGTGGTTCTGAAGAGCAGGATGCCTTGTTTGTGTGAGTAAAACCACTCAAACTGGGCACTGGTAGCAAACTCACAGTCCTGGGCCTGTAAGGGCTTTGGCACATCCACAAAGAGACACAGTTGGGATGGGGTGGCAGGCAATGCATTCAGTCTTTCAGTAATTCCTGCCCATCCCCCAAAACAAGTCACTTGGCTAAATCCCAACTAGCTGTCCTACTACAGTTGCATTCTCACCAGCTGTCAATTCTTCAGGAGATTAGGACTGGAAGAATATTCAGGGAGGAGTGAGAACTGTTGTAAGAAGAATTGGAAGTTGCATTTCTTATTGTACTCAGCTGACCGTTCAGTGCTTCTGCTTAGTCAAGGATGCAAGGGCTAAGATTTTGAAATCTGGTTAAATGGAGATACCATTTTTTTTAGCTATATCAAGATTGATTTGCATCCTGAGAGCACCGGTATCTCTCCATAAGCGTGCTGCTAAATTTTATGATCATATGTTTTAAGACTATCAGAAGTAGACAAAGCCCACAAAACAAATACTTTGCACACAACCCAGACTCTCCACTATCTTACTTTTATTCCTTTAATCTTTATTGCCTTCACAACTGGCTGACTTAATTTGACCCTTTATGGAATGTTGCTGTTAACCCATATGCTTTAGATACACATTACAGCTGCACTCTTAATTCACACAGGTTTCGTGTAACTTGAGCATATTTTATGTGGAAATATTTTAGTAACTGTATGTTCTGTAAGTAAACCCGTGTTAATACTTGTTAACTACAGAGTTTATGATACCAATAATACTTCCTACAATAAAATGTTTGTTTGTTTTTTAAGAATGTTTATTTGTAAACATATGTATTCACTATATTACTATGAATTTCTTACCTGGCAATAAAACTGATTCTAAGTGAATCCAACTTGCTGGCTCATTCCTGAACTTGTATCACTGGGCCAATTTTTGAGTCTAAACTGAGCTTTTGGAGCATCTCACTGCAGCCAGTGGGGTTCATACCAGCACAAAGGATGGTTTGCCTCTGCCAGTGTGAACAAGGAGTTTTTTGGAAATCAACTGCAAGTCATCTGCATTATGGAGAAGCTGGGTGATGTTTGAGGCTCCTTCCAGGCCCAACCATTTTGTGACTCTATGACTGCCAGTTAAGGGCAGTGCAAGACACACGGGGATTGCCAGCCTAGCAAAACTTCATGTCCCCTGTAAGCCTTCAGGCACCACGCACATCTTGTGCCACTTGATCAGTTAATTAATGTTTTGAGGAAAGACAACAAAAACGTAAGCATGCCCAAGGGCAGAGGCTGATCCTCTTGAATGCATGGGAGTTTTGCAGTAAGCTTCAGACACGTCCAAGCATTGCAATTACTCAGCGAGAGTAAATGGAACACTGATGGATACTGCTTCAAAATTTTTATATGTTAATTAGAGAAGATCCTGTGCACAACATCTGTGTACCAAGTCTGCTGGAACAGAAAGTCCTTACAGGCTTTCAGTAGTGCTAATGGCTTGTAAAGCTGACAGAACCTTGGTAGAGAGTTTGGGTAGCTTCTTCTCCTTTCTTTGCTAAAATGATAGTGAATAAATTTCAGAGGAAGAAACAGGGAGTCTGGAAACCCAGCTTCAGAATCCTCTTACTGCATGACCTGGTGCAAATGCCTTAGACAGTTTATGAGTCTTTGGAAGCCATGACACATTATCAGAAGGAAAACATCAATTCAGAAATCTCCAGAATTAGCCTTTTTGTACAGCAGAAAAATCACATTTTCAATATGCACTGTTATGGGTGCCAGGAAATAGTTCATAAAAGCTCTATTTTTTGTTACATAGCATTTCCCTGCCTCAGGTACAACTACAGAAACAACTCCTTTCTGCCAGAGGGCTTAGGAGCGACATACAGAGTTTGTTCAGTGCCAGGAAAATTCTGGGCAGCCTTGTGACCCACAGGGAAGCCTGGGGAACCCAGTGGAACACAAGCCTAACCTGCAGTAGACACAACTTCCTGTTAGAGCTCCATCTATGCACATGTTGTTTCTAGCAGCAAATGCCTCAGTGGAATCACAGATGGCAAAAGGGCCAACTACTTTGCTAGCAGAAGTGTCTCAGCATAGCTTTTGTTCTTTCAGGTATATGAAAACTTCCAAAGAAAACCCACTAGAATGTGATTTTGTGTTTCCACATGTTTTTTTTTCTCTTATGACAGTCTTTTGACACCACTAGCAAGAATGGCACTGGGCTCCCACCAGCATTTCTTCCATGAGGCTCTTTGATCTTAACACACATGCAGTGACTACAAACAGAAGAGTGCACAGTCAAGAAAGGATGATGTTCCTGCACAGAGCTACAGAGTCTAAAAGCCCAAAGGCTTCTGGTTTAGAGCCCTTTACCCTGAAAACTTATGTTCTCATGACTAAATCTTTAGAGTATTGTCCTTAACTTACACAACTGAGGATGTGACGGCTTATATAAATAGTGGATCAGGTCTCATGAGATTTCACACTACGAGGTGTCTCCACGACTCGCAACTTTAATTTTAATAGATCTGGGAAAAGACTCATGCTTTACTCTGTTCTTATAGAATGGTTATTGAATTTTGGGTACTAAATAAATAACCCTAGTCCACAAATCCCTTTTGCACACAATCTTGAGCACTTTATTTAATCCTGGTCTCTATACTTGAATACATGGAGGACTTCCAATGATAAATATAGTCTTCACTGTAATTATATCATCTTTCTATTTGGCATAGATAATTTTATTTTCCTAAAAACAGTTATGATAGGCAATATTATTGTATTAAACTATATAATCTCATATATCATCTGCTACTTAAAATGTGATCGTAGGAGGAGTACCACACTACCAAAAAGTGAACATTGTTGTTTTTATCAGTGGGAAAGTCATACAGCTCTATTTTGAAAAGTGTCTGTAAAACAATCTTGGAATTCATGCTTCATGCTTTAGACATTTCCAGACTCAAATTTTGCTCAGCTTGCAAGCTAGGTGAATCCTCACACCTGCCAACTTGATAAGTAACATTGGCGTGAAACCAGGCCCTTCCTCCCCGTCCAGGCACTAATGAAAGCCAGGACCAAATTATATTACTGGTTATACCCCACATCTGCACAAAAGCTGCTGTCATACAAATGCAATGGGGGATTTTTGCAGAAGATGCACCATGAAGAGACTGACACTCATTCAGCTGTGCCAGCCCTATCATGTTAGCAAAGCATGAGAGATGTATTTGTTGCCAATGACAGCCCTTTGTGACAGCCTGGTCCTAGCTTTGGGCATCCTTCCTCTGTCAGAATCTGCCAAATACACAATCCTGAACAGGCCATGCTCCCTGAACAGGCCCTTCTCATCCCACAGCCACTCTTCTAACAAGATAATGGTGTTGTTCAATAGCAAGGTGCTCTCCCTAAAATTTAATTTTTCACCTGCAGAGCTAAGGGACCCATTCAGGCAAGGGGAAGCTTTGGATTCAGACTAACCTGAGGCTAAGTTCAGAACCCCCATCTATTACTGCTGCTCCCATTTCACATATCAGAAAAGAATAAGATGCAATTTGTACCCAAGTTCATGAAGCACTGCTGTACTAAGTCAGGTCCTTCGTGGATGCATGAAGAGGCTCTCCTTCTCTGCAGGGAACTTGAAGCTAAACTTTCATCCCCAAGCAATCATTCTGTGAAAGGTTTTATTTTTTGTTAGTAAAGCTAGAATTCAGAGTTTTTGTCTATGCATTCTGCAGTACACAGCTACAGACAGTTGCATCTTGTCTATTTAAGTCAACTCTAGCTGCCTTCACTTGGCAGCTTCTGCCTTTACATGGTAAGAGGCATTGTTGCTCATTAATAGGAGTTGATGTGCTGGCAGAGTTTATCTTCTGAACCTGTACACCAAGCCTTGAGTGCATCCCTTACAATAAATAAGGCTGGGAGAACAATATGCTATCAAAAGTGATGATTCCAAATGGAGAGAACATCCAAGTAGTGTTGCTGCTGTTTAATCTGAGGTTGAGCTACAAACAAGGACTGAAAACCAATATTAAATATAAGCCTTTCAGTGGTCATTGGCAGCATTATTTGACAAGGAAACAAGTCCTCCCCAGCAGCAGGTGTGTCAGTGAAGCCACTGGCACTCCTTGAGCAGAAGCATGTTCTTTTCACTGCATGCAGCAGTTGGCCTCAAGCTCACCCTCTGGGATTTGGGCTTACACTGACGTTTTGATCACTGTAGTTGTATTAGAGAGAAGTTTGGCCAATTTCAGTGAACATATTCCTTGAAGTAATTGATCCCCAGAGGAAAGAGTGCTTTACCTGCCACCTATTATTTCTTTAAGCAACGGAAACATGGCAAAAACTTGGATTGTGAGTTGGAACTAGATGATCTTTAAGGCCCCTTCCAATCCAAACCATTTTATGATTCTATGATAAACTGTGCTCTTTTTTTTTTCATCTGCCACAGGTGAAGAGAAGCTAGGCCTTGTTTTGTCCTTACAGAGGTAAGAGAGTTCAAGGATGGCTGCTTTTCTTCCTCTTTTCAAGGCAGAGTTACAATTCAGCAGGAGTTTTTCATACACATCCTGCAGGAGACTGCACTGGCTACTGAGCACAGAGGCAGCCTGTTGATTCCCTCTTACACTAGGAGTAAAAAAATTCTGCAGTTGAAAGACACAAAGATAGACTGGACTACTGTGGCCTCAGTACTGGCTTTGCAAGTCAGCTGCTACTTTCCACCACCCCTTTGAAGAGGTCATGAGGTCTGTGTGGTATTTTCACAACTGATGCTCTCCAGTGAACTCCTGCAGCCTTCTTGAGCACCGCCTCACACCCAGCACCTCACCTGGGCTCTCACCTTTCATGCCACGGTTGCAGTCTTGGGGAACAACCCTGCTTTGTGCACACCTGCATGTACAGACATGTTTTACATCAC